GCCAGGCATTATGGCGGGCACCTATAGTCCCAGCTACTTGGGAGGCTGAGGCAAGAGAATCGCCTAGGCCCAGGAATTGGAGGTTGCTGTGAGCTGTGATGCCACCGCACTCTACTGAGGGTGATAAAGTGACACTCTGTCTCTAAAAAAAAAAAAAAAAAAAAAAACAGAAAGAAAAAAATTGGGGCTCAGAACCAGCAAGGCCAAGAAAATCTTTAAATTATCTTTTAGGTGCAAGCTGAGGAAAACTTTGAATAGTTTTTATTCTCTCAGGTCAGAGGGAAATCTCTTCAGCAGTCATGTCATGCCCTTTTCCTCTTGAAAACTAAGATTTTTCTATCGAAGCCTTTTGATCTTTATGTGTGGGTTATTATAAAAGGTAAATTGAGTCAATTTTGGAGATCATTAGTGGGATCTGAATAAGCATAGAATTTGAGGAAACTGTAGGCTTATACAGTCCTGATGCAAATGGCTGGGAGAAGTATCACTACAAAGGCGTGTAGTAAACCCTTACAGCATCAGAGTCCAGGAATACAGCTGATTTTTCTAAGTAAAAACAAACACGTGTCCACTGGACACTTTATGAACTAGATTGCTAAAGAAGACTGAGCAGAGGTCCATTACCATGAACCATTTTGAACCAGCAGGAATGTTAGATAATAAAGTATTAAGATTATTAAGATCTGGGACTGCAGGAAATCTGGCAATTACAATTTTATTAATTGACCACAAATCTTGAACAAATCTCCAACTTTACACATTTGGTTTTTTAACTGGTAAGACGAGAGTATTTCAAGCACTAGCACACAGAATTATTTATAAGTTCTCAATTAATTAAATCTTCTACAGTTGGTGTGAGTCCTTGAATTGCCTGGGTTTTAATGGATACCAGGGTAATTTAGGTGAAGGGTAAGAAAGACCTACTTAAAGCTTTGCAGGTTTCCCACTTAATCCTTCCTCTATGAGTTAAGGAAGAGGCCCATAGTTATTCGGGTATTTTAGATAGGTTAGGGGGTTTTATAGTTCTGAGTTTCAGTCTTACCAGCTTGTACCTGTAGAGAGCATAATCTGATTCAGGAGCCAGGAAACGCTAAGACTATTTATTCTTCTGAAAAGAATTTTATATGCGTTTTTATCTTTGAAAGTAAGTCTCACTCAGGAAGTCAACTGGAACAGTATCACATAATAAAAAGATGTGGGGATTTTTTTCTGAAATGACCCTAAAATCAACTGGACAGGTTTAGATGGAAACCACTTGAACTGTAATCAAAACCCCACCACAGAATGACCTTTTTCTCGGCCGGATTTATTGGCTTATTGAAGTGGGGTTTATGATATATAAGGTGCCTCGGGCATCCCCCAAGATTGCGCAAGATCCCCTATTTAGTGTAACTTGTTTCTCCATGTTAATTTAAAGATATCTTGGGGAACAGTTCGCTGGAGAATCACTGAACGTTGACGGTCACCTGTGTTATCATTGCAGAGTAAATCTTGGGCTCCCTCTAGTGGTAACTCGGTCCTGTCTAAAGGGTGGAGGTTTATTGGTGGGATGATACAAATGGGGATGGCGTCCTTTCCAGCCTTGTGGTGCTTTGCAATGAAGACATAAGCCTTAGGATAACGATTTCTTTTTGAAGGATCTTTTGGTTGTGATTTAAATAAACAAGAGAAGAAGCCTTTGGTCTCAGTAGCTGTTAACGTTGGAGAAAGTAAGCTTGGTCGCCTTTTAGGGTTTTCTTCCTCTGTGTTCAGGTGAGGCCACCAACTCATGTCTGTCAGTTCCCACCCTGGTTTATGTTTTCTAATTAAACCGCTCAGTTCAGGATGGACTCTGGACATAAACAGAGCAGTTAATGGGGTTTCAGTCCCTGCAGGAGTTACTCCTTGTTGTATTTTGAGCCCAGAATGTTTCCTACTGTTCCTGAGCATGTTCTGTCATCTAAAACGGTTTCATCCTTTTCTTCTTTTTTTTTTTTTCTGGTCTGCAAGGTTGTATGATGGACCAATATATTTTTTGTGTGTGTGGGAGAATCTTATGAATTTAATCTAAAAGTTACCAGCAGTTTTTCTAGCTTTCTTTAGTCCCTCTCATGAGAAAGTTTTAGAGGGTCTTTATTATCCTCAGGTTTGCCTCCCCTGCTGCCATCTATTTGGGGGCTTTGCCAGGCCCCAATATCATGCAAATAAGTGGGTAAAGGTCAAGAAATCCTAGATTGTCAGCTCCTGTAAGAATTCTAAATTCCTTAGTAAAGTTTTGAGGATTTTCCCCTTGGCTTAGGGAAGTCTCTTACAATGGCTCTAGGCTCAGTTTTGGACCACAGAGTACAGGTGAGTACAGCAGAAAGTCCTGGCTGATCAGAAGGCCTTACTTCATTGTAAGTTATCAGCCTAATTTCTGTTTCATCATCTTCAGGGTCAGAGGGTAATTCAGGGAGAGGTTAGTGGATTCAGGGTATTTAGATAAAGTTTGATGAAGAGAAGGAAGAGCTGAGGTTAGTTCAGTTCTCTCTCATGTCCTTTATCTGTTGCTTAAGCTTTTCATTTGCTCTTTGCAAACAATCTTTTACAGAGGCAATTTTTGATTAATTAAATTATCACACAGATTCCACCATTTCTTGGATCTTCATTTCCTTACCAGTTATAGTCTGCATCCCATTGTTCTGGCAGGGTTTTTGATTCTCTTTCTCCTGATACACCTTAAAAATAGTTTTATCCAAAGTAAGACTTCCTCATCATGACCATCTTAATTCTAAATCATCTCTAGTGAAGATAACCTGTTTTTCTGAAAATGTACACACTCTGGGCCCATACGTTTTATACATAAAATCAGCTAGAGTCCCAGACTCCTTGGATCAAGACGGCACATTTTCAAGAAGTTATCTACCTGAGGCTCAAGACATCTAATGGAATCCAGTACAGTTATTAATAATTATCAATCCTAATCTGATCCTGGACCAAGTCCAGTCTAAATATGCTTCAGAACACAAGTTCGTGGCGCTTGGACTCCGAGAGAAAATTCACCCATGACTTTTATCTGACAGACCTGACAACAAATCTATTAAAAGAAAAACTGGACAAATTAAATGTAACAGAATATAATGGAGGAAGAAAGAAGACAAAAAAATTCTGTCTTAACATGAGAAATAATTTTCACCTATTAAATTAGGAAATATTTTATAAAATATCCAAATCTGGCTAAGTTGAGTTGTAAAATATAAACTGCCAGAGCTATTGTATGTCAGAAGCCTTAGTACAAGTTTGTATCTTTTGTGGTCCAGAAGTTTCACTTTTAGGAATTTTTAATGGAAAATAATCAGAGTGAGGAGCTGGGTGCAGTGGCT